AGCTAGATGAGAAAAATATTTGCTTACAAGAGATTATAAAACGAAGTTATCTTTGTCTATTAGTAACACTGACATGTTTGTACATGTAAAAAGAGTTATTATTTTAGTTTTTAAATGATAAAAACTCAACTTTTTTTCAATTCATGTAAAAAAACTCAACTTTTTTTCAATTCATGTCAGACTCCATGAATGTTTTGCAAGATTATCTTTCTTTATAGATATACGTATATAGATACGTAGATAGATAGATAGATAGATAGATAGATACGTGTGTTTAAACAAACAAATGAATAGCTTTGTAAATAGAAGTAGGCAAGGACAATTAATGAATCTCTTAATTTCTTAATTGTTCTTTCCTGCTGTGGACTTTTCCCAGTGATTTTTTATTTTAAGTAACAGTTAATTCAGTTAAATGAATTGGGTCTTTTCAGCCAACAGCTATTTCGGCCTCACCCTGTGTCTGAGGCACTGAGTCAGGGGTGGGGATTAATCACTTGGTCAGAGAAAATTTCAAAAACAATTGTTAATGTCTAGAATCACAGAAGATATTTCCTCATGATGATGTAGTATTGAGAGGGCAGAGTTGTCATGTTAAATTATAAGCTGCAGAAGTAGGAAACTAGCATCAATTACAAATTTATCCATTTGCTAGATAATCTAAAACTTGGTAGAGAAACAGCCCAAACTATTATTCTGTGTGCCATTTATATGGTTTTAAGACAGAAATGTTTACAGACAGGATGCTAAAATTTCTGCTTTTTAAAATTACCTGATGTCTCATGGGAATTCTGGAAATAAGAAAATTACCTGAATTTGCCTAGGACAAATCTTATTTGACAATAAAGCCATACACACCAATAAATCAACTGATTGGGGGTAAAGATTTTAACCGTCAGCTTTCTCTGTGGTGATTTTGCATTTTCATTATGTTATGAGAGTAAGCTATAGCTTAGGCCAGAAGCCCATGGCTTTGGGCTAGAAAGCTGAGAATTTAATGAGGTAGAAAACATATACACAAATTGCAACGTCAATGATGATATCCTTATAGCTTAACATGCCCGCATAACTACATTATAAACAGAGATATAAAAAGATAAAGCATGTTGACATCAACTTGTAAATCAGAAACCCAAGGGCCTAAGAGCTTCACAACCTTGGAGCAGAGTCAGTTTGCATGTTTTCTTCAAAACTATTTGGAATGTGCAACACATGTAGAGGACAGCTCTTTTTTCTTTCTTTCTTTCTTTCTTTTTTTTGTAAAGTCTTACTCTAAAAGGAAAGCTGAGCTTCTGTGTTAAAATGAAACAATGCGGGTCTTAGAGACAGAATGATGTATACATATAATTTTTTTCACTTTAAAAGTTAAGTGACAATGAGAAGCCATTTCTTCCTTGTTATTATTAAAAGCTGACAGAAAGTGATGGGAAAAAGAAAATGGTGGTGGAAAGGGAAGGCGACTGGTTTCAAGTAAAGGGACTGCCACCAATCTAGTCTGCTTCCTCAGTTTAGTCAAGAGATCTCTGTAAATATTCCAGCCAAATTTATGTTACAACTTTAAGACTCTTGAGAATATCTTTCTATGCCTTTTGTTAGTTCTGAAAGTCAGTTCTATTTAATGACATACCAATCTTTTTCCTTCTGCTCTTAAGTTTAAAGGTGGCAGCAGCAGTAGTTTGCTCTATGTCCCAGACAGTCTCTGCCGTACCAGGGCTTCATATCCCCTCAAACACAGAGTTGTTAACTTTTCTAAATTTTTACCCCCCAAACAGGAAAAAAATTAAGACACTATGATGGAAACTGTGTTAGTTTGTTCTTGCATTGCTATTAAGGAATACTTAAAGCTGGATAATTTATAAAGAGAAGAAGTTTCATTTTGGCTCATGGTTCTGCAGACTGTACAGGAAACATGGAGCCAGCCTCTGCTCCTGGTGAGGGACTCAGGAAGTTTGCAATTATGGCAGAAGTCCAAAGGGGGAGCCAGTGCAACACACGGTGAGAGAGGGACAGAGAGCAGGGGGAGGAGCCAAACTCCTTTAAACAACCAGCTCTCACTTGAACTAACAGAGCAAGAACTCACTTATTAACATAGGAAGGGCACCACACCATTCATGAGGGATCCACTCCTATGACCCAAACACTTCCCACTAGGCCCCTCCTCCAACACTGGGGATTACATTTCAACATGAGATTTGGAGGAAACAAATATCCAAACCATATCAGATAGCAACTTAATAATGTTTGTATTTTATCGGTATACTTAGGAGAAGATTAAAGATAAAGTAGCAGTAGGACATAGGTTTTTTTTTTTTTTTTTTGAGTTAAGACTTCCTATGTTCAAGTCCAAGATCTACTACTTAAAATATGTAGCCTTGAATTATTTATTTTCAGTAAACTTCATCTCTTCATTTATAAAATGGTAATTATAATGATAATGATGGCTGTCTCGACTTGGCGTTTTTACCTAGAATAAAACTTAGCACGAGTAGCACATTCCTTATAGGGAATTAAACTTTTGACAGTGCAGCTCTTTTCTGAAATCCTTCCCTAATTAATCAGAAATACAGACGTACACCTATGTCTGTGTATTTCACATGAATTAAAAATGTGTTTATCATAATTTTTGAAGCTTGACTCCTTCATACATATTAATGACAAATAGGGAAAAACCTACTTTGAAGACAAAATGTTAATATCTAAGGTGGCAGTAGTCCTCTTAGAATGTGTTTTCTGTTGAACATTGGAGGCTGTCTTTTGTTAAAAAGAAAGCACATCCACTCCCAAGATTTATACCTAAGTTAAAAACTAAAAAAACATTTGATTGTCAAAAGTTCCATTAACTATCAAAACTAGAACATTTATTTATTTATTTTTATTTCAATAGCTTTAGGGGTACAGGAGGTTTTTGGTTACATACGTGAGTTGTATTGTGGAGAAGTCTAAAATTTTAGTGCACCTGTCAACTGAATAGTGTACATTGTACCTAATATGTAGTTTTTTGGGTTTTTTTCTAATGTGTAGTTTTTTATTCCTCACCTCCCTCTCACCCTACCCCCTTCTGTGTCTCTAATGTCCAATATACTACTCTATATGCCTTTTTGTATCCATAGCTTCACTCCCACTTATAAATGAGAACATGTAGTATTTGATTTTTCATTCCTGAGTTACTTCCTTTAGAATAATGGCTTCCAGTTCCACCCAAATCAATACAAAAGGTACTATTTTGTTCTTTTTTATGGCCAAGTAGTATTCCAATGTGTATATATACCACATTTTCTTTTTCTACTCATCAGTTGATGGGCACTCAGGTTTGTTCCATATCTTTGCAATTGTGAATTGTGGTGCAATAAACATATGCATGCAGGTATCTCTTTGATATAATGACTTATTTTCTTTTGGGTAGATACCCACTAGTGGGATTGCTGGATCAAATGGCAAATCTACTTTGTTATTTCCATCCGTTTTTCATACTGTTTTCCATAGAAGCTATACTAATTTAAATTCCACCAACAGCATATAGACATAATCTTTTCACTGCATCCACACCAACATCTGTTGTTTTTTGACTTTTTAATAATGGTCATTCTGGCTGGGGTAAGGTGATATCTTATTGTGGTTTTAATTTGAATTTCCCTGATGATTAGTGATGTTGAACATTTTTTCATGCTTCTTGGCCATTTGTATATCTTCTTTTGAGAATTGTCTATTCATGTAATTTGCCTGTATTTTAATGGGCTTTTTTTTTTCTTGCTTATTTGTTTGAGTTTTTTGTAGACTCAAAGGATATTAGTCCTTTGGTTGGATGCATAGTTTGCAAATATTTTCTCCCATTCTGTAGTCTGTCTGTTTACTCAAATAATGATTTCTCTTTTTGTTCAGAAATTTTTCAGCTTAATTAAGTCCCATTTATTTTTGTTTTTGTAAAACTAGAACAGTTACAAGAATTTGTTTTATGGAAAAAAATATCAAGTTTAGTTTTTAACCACCTGAGCTAATAGGCAGAAATTTAATATTTTATTAATTTTGGTAGTTATCTTTATGTTTCAGTATGTGGGAAAAATAGACATTTTCTATATACACCAACATAACTAAATGAAATTTAATTTAAAAATCAAAATATACATTTCATTATTTTCCATTCTTGTCTGATGTTAAGCATCACCCACCCAGAGTTCTTTGTGATAATTCAGATTCCTAGGGTTTATTCTGGAGCCATCAAATCAGAAACTCTAAGCCTGAAATAACACTCAAGGTTATTCTTATGATCAGATAAGTATGTGAAGAAGTAATGCAAATATTTCTCTGAGTTAAGCACATCTTTTAAGATTTTTAATCATTGCCAAACAACGTGGACCTGCTAAGAAAGAGGTTTTTATAAAAAATAATGCAACCGAATTTGAATAGTAATAAAGTTTACATTTTGTAAACAAAACCAAATTCAATTATCTTAATTTCTTTTAATCATCTCACACTATTCAGATCAGTAACATTTAAATTCATGAATTTCTCAGGTTCATAAGGTGCTTTGATTCTCTGAGAGTCAGAAAATAAGAAGTGCAAATCATTAGGTAAGGAGATTTTTAAGTATATAGCTCTATTGTTGCTGGTTTAATTTGTGAAGAGGTTTTAAATATTGATATTTTTTTCTTCAACAAATGATTTAAACTGTCTGCATATTGGTGCATGCCAAGCTATTGTGTGAAATTTTACCAGCTGGGAATTATCCCCTCATTCGCTGGTGTGATTAACACTTCCAGCTGTAGAATAATTAAAATGTCAATCAGTTCTGAAACAGAGCAAAACAGTTTCTCATTTGATCCGTCAGTTGGAAGGCTAAATGAAGGAGCACATCAGGTGTCTAGCTCTTCTCACAACAAGAGTTCACGTCCCACCTCTCTCTGTTTTCCTTTACCTCCCCTCTTCTGCCTTCACATACACAAACACACACTGTGGACTCTGGGTTTTGGTTGTGTTCAAATTTTGTTCTTTGATATGTCATCAGTCTTTCAAAATTTGTTGTATTGATTATCTTTAAGAAAAACTTTGGGGAATAATGAGAGCAGAAGGTTAGGAGGTTCTTGGATTTAAATGTGTTTTCTGCATGGTATGTGTTCCTCAAACCATGTAAACACACACTCCATTAGTTTTGAAACTTCTTTCTTCCTCATCTTACAGCACTGACATGATGTGCTTCATCATCACTTAGAACCAGAACATGAAGGAATGATAAAGCTTCTAGACCTATAAAAAACAAAGTGATGGGAAAGAAAATAGTCACAGCATGTTATTGATGTCTAATGTTTCTGAGTGTTTTAGAGTCTGTAGACTCTTGCACATAGTGGCTGGAAAATACAATATGGATGCATAAATTTAAATCAATACATCTCTGAAAGCCCCAGCCCCACTTCTGCTTCTTAAATTCTTTTTATAGGTCTCGATGCCTAGAGTCAGCAGCAGCAGCAGCGTGGCTTTTACATTTTTCGGTTAGAGTTCCTTTTAACTTAATTAAAGCTTTAATAGAAGTTTTATTTCCCTTAGAGGGTTACTCTAAGGTTTAAAGTGGCCTTAAAAATAAGTACCCCAAATACCTGTTCATCAAACATCCTTTTGAACTTTTTGCTTTACTCAGAAAAATATTACTAATCAGATAAAAATGAACTCTTTCAGATGAATATGATACTCTAGATAATAATCCCTAAGACTTCTATAGTGGTTGTTTTAGTAGTTCCTTTGAAGTCTTAAGAAGAGGTGATAGCAACATGTAAGTGAAAGGGTGTCAAATTGGTAGAAGCTAAAAAAGGTTGGGGTTCTGAGTGATGTCCTCTCATTTGAAGAAACCTTGAGCAACTCTTTAGGCAACACCTGCTGTGCTGGCAGGCCGAACCTCAGATCACATGGTGATATTACTGATTCATATGATCAAGTTCATACCACCCACAATACATTTACACGTATAGGCTTAACCTTTTAAATACCTTTGTCGTTTCCTTCCTTCTAAAGCAGTTGTGCACACAGTGCAATTTACTGAATGTTGGGATAGCACAAAATATTTGCTCTTTTCACTAATTTTCTTTTTTTCTCCCTTTTCAACACCCTAAACCTTTTCAAAGATTCCAGAGGAGTAAAAGCTGCTATAATCTTGATTCACTGTTATGGGCAATAGAATTATTTTGCTGATTGCTGGAATCATTGTTCGTATACATGTTAGAAAAATAATCTTTTCCCCCAATTAATGTGTATTCATTGAGAGGCTGAGATTGCATCAGCAAGGGCTAGTCCTCTACCCCCAAATATTCATACTTAAAAAGGAAATTTGGGATCCAATAAGAGAGATGAGACTATGATTCAATTAAAGAAATTGTCTTTAAAAAGGATGATGAAATTCCTTCAAGTACAAGATTTGCTCTTTGAGTTGTTATAAACTTCTTATTGTTGGAATTTTACTCTGGGTAGCAGAAATTTTAATGTTGATGAATCCCAAATGCAATTCCCTGGGCTGTTTTTGAAGACTATGGAACATTAGAGAGCAAAAAAATATAAACTTACCCAAAAAAGTCAGCACTGCATCTGAATGGGTTCAAAACAAAATCAGTCCATATCTTGATGCTGTGTGCATTCTCTGAGAACACAATAAACACAAATGGTGCCAGAGGGAAAAGAGAAAGGGCTTCTGTTGACTTCAAATAAAGGCGGTATCTGACAAAAGGGGAAGCAAATGATACCTTGATATGCCATTAACAAATGCCTTGTATATCTACAGCTGCATTCTATGAGCACTTTGGAAATTAAAGGATTGCCAGCTTTTCCACTTTGGGACAAAAAACATTTGTGCTAAACAGCCGGTAAGTAAATGCAGTAAACATATTTTTACAGTGAATAGAATTGGTTTATATTTTGGGGACTGATTGTGAATTTCTACTGCTTCTTGATTAGCAAACATTTGGCAGTTCCCGAGTCTTTAGACATTAAAATGCCAAAACAGATTTTTATTCTCAGACTGAGCTCCTATATTTTTTTCATTCCTCTAACAATTATCCTCAAAACATTTGAAAGCACTAAAATAAAACGTGTTCTGAAAACACATTCGGAAATGTTTTACCTGTGTGACTTTAATAAGCATGTAAATAAGAGAAAATACTGGGTTGCTGTCTAACTTCCTTAGGGCAAAGATGAGAACACAGTACATACGTAATGATTGTTGGAAATGTTGGTGGGCATTTCCTGGGGCCTTGCCTTGGGACAATGGAAGGTTTTATTGCTGAACATCAAAGCTGGTAAAAACAGATGTCTGTGCACAGTCTCTTGGGTGTATCTCCTAGTAGTAATGTTCCTGCTAATTTTTAAAAATCAATAAATTTCTAAGAGGTTTAAAACTTCTCAGTAATGATTTCTATCTCTTTTTAAGAGTCATGTCCTTACACATTTTTTGTGTTGTTACATTGAAATTATTGGAGGTTTTTTCTTTTAAATGATCATTTTAAGTATCTTACACTTTTACGTTAAAAAATTTAAGATTAGGAGATTGATTATATTTGTTTTGCATTCATCCATTGATTGTAATTTTTAGTTGAGTAATTACATAGAAACCAATGTTTTAATCTGCCAACTTTATATAAAACTTGAAATTTCAGAGAAAACAAGTAGGCAAAATAGCATAATTTTTACACTGGCTCACATCTTGGTTGCAATGCAGGATTTTGCATTCTTCTATGATTGAGTGTGTATGTGCATGTGTATTGCGTGTGTGTGTGTAATTTTGTGTATGTGCATAAGTGGAGGTTGTGATTTTATCATTATAATTAAACTTTTAAATTAAAATGTAATGGCATGTATTAATTTTCTATTGCTTCTGTAACAAATTACTACAAATTTAATGGCTTAAAACAATACACATTATCTTATAGTCCTGGAGGTGATCAGTCTGAAATGAGTTTCACTGGGTTAAAACGAAGTATTGATGGGATTGCATTTATTCTAGAGGCTTTAAGAGAGAATCCTTTGTTTTTCCTTTTCTGTATTCTAGAGGCTACTTGTTTGTATTCCTTGGTTTTCAGGGAATCTTCAAAACCAGCCACTCCATCACTCTGACCTCTGTTTTCATTAGCACATTTCTTTCTCAGACTCTGATTCCTCCTGCATCCCTCTGACAAGGACTCCTGTAATTACATTGGTCACATCTGGATACAGAGCCATCATTCTGACTGCTACTGGCATAAAATTTACTAAAATAAAATCCTTGCTACTCACCTCTCCCTTCAGTAAATCTTCCCATGATTTCTTATCTCTCCTGAACTCCAGTATTTTTATCCATATAGTTCTCCTATTTACTTAAGGAAATTATTCTTGAGTATACATGAAATTTATGCTAATGTAACTTGCTCAACCTTCCCCAACATGCCTACTTTATAAACTTTGGACTTTTCCTTGCCCCCTTCCCTGTGTGAGTTCGGAGCATTACTTCCAGCACAAACTTCTTCTACTCACATCTTTTTTTCTAGTGCTGCTTCAATTTCCTGAAATGGAAGCACAACTTTCTCCTGGAGGTTCCATTTCTCTAGAGGACCTTCCACTGGAAGTAAATTCTTTTCTACTTCTTCAACTTAAGGTGCATGGAAGGAGGTGCCTTATTCTTTATTCCTTGACGCCTCTTCCACATCATTATTCTGCAACCACCATCTAACACCACATCATTATTCTACAACTACCATCTAACAATCCCTCCTCCTTTGAAGTTGATGATATCTGGTGGTTGCTTTTCTTTCCTCATTTTCGACATGATATGCTAGCTTCACATTCACCATATATTCCTCATTTTATTTATTATTTTATTCTTATGATTTATAGGAATCATTCCTTAGACACTTTGTTGTCCATATTGCTATCATCTACCAAACTAGTTTCACCTTTAACATCAATAGCCTTTATTATCACCTCCCCATATTGTCCCTTACATATGACAATATTCAAATCTTGAAATTACTCGGATATAATGAGATGAAAGATGAACTCTAACGTTCCACTTTGAGACTCTACCTTTCTTCTCTTCCAACTCTTCCCTTTTCCTTTATTTTTTCCTGACCCTGTTTTTCAATTTTGCCTGATTCCCTGTCTCTAAACTTCTCTATTTTCTCTATCTTTTGGCCTCTCCTATGAGTCCGTATTCATATTCTGGAGCAGTACTTCTGAAACTATCTGTGAGGTAAAGGACCAGTTTTCATTTCCCAACCCACTGTCAACTGATGTTTCATTAAAATATAATAATCATTAATTTTACTTGAGAATTGAAAAAGACAAGTACATACAAAATGCAAATAATATTTTTAGAGTCAACAGATGTAAATTTTCTGTTACGATAATCAAAACAAATAGAGTAGAATAAAATAATTATAAAAATCACACATAACACATTGAAAATGTGCTTGTAAGTGACTAATATAGCCATTTTACTTATGTTTGTATGATATTCTTCAATCATAACCAACTGGAATTTCATTGAGATTGCACTGAATTTATAGATTAAGTTAGTAAAAACTGATATCTTGACAATACTGAGTTTTCCTATCTATGAACATGGAATACCTCTCCCCTTATTTTGTTTCTTCCTTAATTTCTTTTATTAGGGTTTATAGTTTTTCTCATATATATTTTGTTTACATTAGATTTATATCTAAGTATTTCATTTTAGTGTGCTAATATAAATGGTATTCTATTTTTATTTTCAAATTCCACTTATGCATTGCTGGTTTATAGGAAACTAATTTATTTTTGTATACTAACCTTGTATTCTGCAATCTTGCTATAATCACTTACTAGTTCCAGTTTTTTTTTTGTTTTAAATTTTATACATAGATTATGTCATCTATGAACAAAGAGTTTTATGTCTGTGTTCCTAGTCTGTATACCTTCCTCAAGAAGGTTTCCTAAGAAAAGTACACATAAGTCTAAAACCCACCAGCCTTCATACTAAATACCTGCATGCTTTCTTCAATTTTCTCCTATGTTTTAGTCATTTTTATTCAAACACAGAATGATATTTAATTTACCCCCTCTAATTACTTTCCTCTTTTCTTTACTGACTTCTATTCCCTGCCTCCTGCTTCCACATTTCTTTCTGTTCTTTATTCTGTTCTTTAATAAGATACGAATATGACAACTTTAATATGTAATCTGTGTGGGTAAATTAGTATTTTTAATTAGGACCTCTACATTTCATTCCATCTTATTTTTAATTCCTCTGGGCAATTCTTCTTATGTTTTTATTATTTTAATAAAAGTATGAACATCTGTTTTCCCAAGCCTATTTATGTTCATTTCTTGTCCCGTTTCACTAGTACCTGCATGTCCTCAGTCAGCTAGGATAAGTATCTAGGCCTGTGGTTTTTTTTTTTTTTTTTCTTTTTGTATAGGCAGAATTCTAAAATGATGTCTGTGATTCTTGCTCCTGAAATACAAAACTTTTTGTAATCTCCTTTTGCATGCAATTGAAACTTGTAACTCACTTGTAACCAGTAGAATACAGCAAAGGTGAAGGGAAAGCTTAGGTGTATCTAAGGTCTTCAGTTAGTTGATTTTGAGTTAATAAAAGGGAGATTATCCTTGGTTGGCCCTACTTAATCATGTGAGCCCTTTAAAAGAGGCTCTAAGCCTTTTCCAAAATAAGACACAGGAAATAGCAGATACTCTCTCCCTTTCTGATACTGGAGAAGTAAGCTACCATGAATTTTACAGCCAAACAAAAATGAATTCTTTCAACAACCCGAGGAAGCTTGGAAGTGAATACTTCCTAGTGAGCTTTCAGATGAGAATACATCCCAATCACCATTTTGATTTCAGCTTTGTGAAACCTTGAGCAGAGTACCCAGTGAAGCTGTGCCCAAACTTCTGACCTACAGAAACTTTGAAATAATAAATATGTTTTGTTTTAAGCCACTAAATTTGTGGTAATTTGTTATGCAGCAGTAGAAAACTAAAAGACTAATTTCTTTCAATTTCCACATTCACTCTTAAACTAATTTCTGTCTCTTCTACCTACACAATATCTCTTACTCCCATCTTTCACCTTCTCATCACTACCACTTTGGTTTATTTATTTATTTATTTTATTTTCTATTACTAAAATGGCCTTTTGAACAATCTCTGTCCTCTCCAGCCAGTTCACTCTAAGAACCACTAGAAGCACTAATTATGCCATTCTAGCTGTGAGAGAAGATGCTCACTGTGGTTATAAGTAGAGAGGTTGATCTAGTGGTCTTGGCAGAAGAGCATGATTAGATGAAATTTCCAGGGAAGAACTATTAGAACAGGTGGCTGGAATGGAGATGGTAGGACTCTGAAGAAAGTTAAGGAATTGAGAAATCACTGTGACTATGTTGCATAGGCTATCCAAGTAGACATCAAAAATAAAATATGCTGATTATTTTAACATTACAAATATAACAAGCTGAGAACAAATGAAATTACTCATTTTATGTTGTTTCTCATGCCTTCTTTCATAGAAACTTAGTAAAATTTTCCCTTTGGCCTTTTGAGAAGAAAGTTTTAAAAATGTGCACTTATATAACTCAGTACAACTTACAAAAGTCATGTATTACAAAGCCCATGCAGAAAGTTGATATCACATTAAAAAATTCTGTAATTATCAAGCCTTCCAACCAAAAGTGAGTCAGTCAAGCTCTTTTATACAAAAGCTTATTTCCACTAGGAAAAAGCAAATGCCAGTGTTAATCAAACCAGCATGGAATTTAATTAGAACCCCAAGAACAAGCGGATAGGCTTAGCACCTTGGACACATGAATATCTTGTTTCTAAAGATGACCTCAAAAGATTGCATAAAAATCAAGCCCAGCACAAGTCAGAAGTAACTAATTAACTTCCCATTTTTCCCTTAGTAATTTAGTCTTCCTCTTTAAAAATATTTCTAAACTGAGAAATCCCCATTAATTGCTGCATATTGGTTGTTTAAATGTGGGTAATGATCCTTTACTTGATTGTATATGTCCATCATTTAATTTATTATTTATATGTGCTTTATAAACAACTGTCAAACATGAAGCAACTTTAGTTGATGGCCTCATTAAATTTGATTGTAGATATAGAATTTTAGAGACTGGAAAACTTTCTGACACTGCATGGAAAATATTTTCTTATCAACCTTGCAATTAGGGGAGAAACTGTGCTTACCGCTCCCCCAGATATTATTGAGGGTGGCTGCTTCATGATCTCAAACCTCTGGAGGCTCATAGTGGAAATGGTTGGGAAGAAGGCACTACATCCAAGCAGACTTTCTTGTCAATAATTACTTTGATGTTTTTGGTTCTGCTCTCACCTATTTTAGATGTGAGTTCTGCCTACTTAGTGGTTACCCAGCCCCAGCCCTGATGAAAGGGAGGTTAGAGGTTGCCTCAGACGTTGCTTTGGCAGTTTGTTTGTTTCGTAGAATTGGTCAATCTACTGATGTCCTACAATTCTCTTCACTGACCTGAACAAATTAGACTCTGCTCTTCCTTTAAATTTCTGTATAGAACCCTGAAAACTGTTCTACACTTTGTCTTTTGATTTCCCCCATGCTTCTAAGTTTCTTATGACCTCTGGATTCTCCCTTTGGCTTTGCAGAACACCACTACTTCCAAACTCTAGAGTAAAATTCCTGTGAAGACTGATACCTCAGAAGTGACTGCTTCACAGATAGACATCTCATTTTTTAATTGAGATTTCAACTATTTAACACTTATCATGTTAACTCATGATACTCGCCTCCATTTGCTCATAAACAACAAAACAATAACAAAAATGATTGGTCACTGAGTGCTAACAAGAGGCAAACTATTAGAGATATAGACATAATGAATAGGACTCTGACCTTAAGCGGTTGGTAAATAAAACAGAAATTTAAAAAATGAAATAAATAAGTAAGGTTACTGCTATAGAAATAGATCACAGGCTACAAATTACAACTGGCCCTGGGAAACAGAAAGGCAGCACAGGTATAGCAAGGGACCTTTTACATATAGGTAGAACCTTGTTGGAGGTAATGGTGAAAGCCCATGAGCCCTTGCTTTGGGCTGCTCTGGTGAATTGGCACTCCCCTTCACTGTTTCGCTGACTAGATGACTAGAGAGGCCTTATGGAACTGTGTCCCCTTTTCTACTTGCGTGAATCATTTACATTGCTTGTTTGTGAATTTTAGCAAAATAAACTGAATGCAAACAATGCCATGTCCAAGTAATCTCGCTTGACAATGTTTGAATCTCTATCAGACTTTGCAGTCTGCCTACTTTATTCCTTCTTTCAGTTCAACCCCAGAAAAGACACAGAAGTTACATTGACAAAAAGTGTAGGCCTGAAGAACTAAAGCAAGACTGTTAGAAACCATTGGGCAGGGAGAGGTGGATTTGTGCTTGTGTGGAGGGAAATAGCTGGCAGGGCTGAAAAGGTTTGCATGCACAGCATGGAGACTGCTTAGGAGAAGAGCTTTCAATTGTGCTCTTTTCTCATAGTGCCACACTGGCTTGCATAGATGTTTACTTCCTCCTCATTTTTGACAGAAAAGCAGCTGTGACTATGTAGGGCTACTGGAGTCAGTAGGATGACTTCAGAGAGGCTCAAGACCAAACAGACTGGGAGGCTAGCTTCTGAATAAGCCCTGATCCACTCCCCTCCTGCCACCACCCTCACCCAGCTTGAAATAACCAAACAATAGAGGAAGGCTCTGGGAGAGAGCTGTGTCATAGCAGAGGCTTCCCTGAAAGCCAATGCCATCTGTTGGGTTGGGGGCAGACTATGGCTCCTCAGCCTCTGCCCTGTAATATATCTATCTCTCCCACCTTTAACTAGGCCAGGAGCAGTACATGCTCTACCTCATACACATTGCCAGTGAGATACTGGATATGCCCAGGGAAGACATGCTGGCAAAAAACTCAGACTTTTGAGGGGCAGAGTCATGAAATAGGAGAGTCAACAAAATGAGCAAATCAGACTAGATAAACCAGATTTAATTAAAGCTTCAAATCAAGAATTAAAAATAAGAACACTATCCTCTAATAATATAGAATAATAACAAAATGAGGGAAATACAAGCCATTTTAAAGAAACACAAAGTAGAAAACTTGGATGTAGAAAGAAAATAAAAGGTTAAAAATGAATAATTATACTTGAAAATGCATAAATGAGAGGATGAGGTCAAGAAACTCTCATGAAAAGAATAGGCAGGAATTAAGAGAGAAAAATTTGAAAAGTTAAGGTATGAAAAATTTAGTACTAGAAGCATCAATATCTAAATATTAGTAAACAAAAGAGGAGGAAATATTGGATGGAGAGGAAATTGTTAAATAATCATGCATAATTTTTCAGAATTAGAGCAAAATAAATAAATCATGTTGAAGAGATTCCTAGTATGACAAATAGGATAAATAAGGAAACATTTACATCTAGACATATTTTAATTAACATCAACCATATCAAGGATATTTCAAAAGCTTGTGGATAGAGCAGGATCTTCATAAAAGAGAAAGACTTAGATTGACTTTAGATTTCTCTTAGTGACACAAGAAGCAAGAAATGAGGTCACAATTGCAAAGGAAAATAATTTAAACATGGGATTTTATTCTGGTTTTTATTGTCAAATATTTGTGACAAACAAAAAGATAAAGAATAATAAACATATCTACTATAGATTTATGAAATAATAAATCATTACTTTTTCGTGGGAGCATTTTGCTTGCCCACACCAATCACATTCCTTCCCAGTATTTTGAGTTTGATGGTCATCTTTCCATGCATGTGTTTATATGTTTAGTTGTTGTGGATGCATTTCTAGAAAATGTGTCATTTTTTGCACATTTTTAAAAATAAAGCAGCCAGGTATTTTATTATCATTAAGCTATCATTTCTTTGGTGGCAGGGAGGTTTCTTCATTTGTATAAAACAGCAGTCGTCAAAGAGTTACATGGAAAAATTAAGGTAATATTGATTATCTTCTCATGCAAGCAGCTAAACAAAATTTATTTCCACTGTAATTATTTCCAATGAACACTTCCTTAATATGCTGATAGAAACTCAGTAATAGATAAGTATAGTAGTTGCAATATCATTTATGGCCTTTACAATACAACTGTAGTCTTAAAATTACATGTTGTTAGAGCTATTTTTCACCACAGATAGTACTAGAAACTCTGAGCCTTTTGCTAGACTCTAATTTGAATATCACCCACTGATTGCGCAAAAGATGTAAATTGTGTTTATGTACAATCATTGATAGGCTAATGAAACTTTTCTTCCAATATCATAGTTCTAAAAACAGACACATAGATTAATGAAACAAAATAGAGAATCCAGAAACAAATCCATACACCTACAATGAACTTTTTCAACAAAGATGACAAGAATATATAGTCTCTGCAATAAATAGTGGTAAAGACAGTCTGCTTAATAAACAGTTTTGGCAAAACTGAATATCCATAAACAGAAAAATAAAACTAGATGCTTATAACTCACCATACACAAAAATCAAATCAGAATGAATTAGAGAATGATGGTTTCCAGCTTCATCCATTTCCCTGTAAAGGACATGAATTCATCCTCACACAGCAAACTAACACAGGAACAAAAAATCAAACACCACATGTTCTCACTTATAAGTGGGAATTGAACAATGTGAACACATGGACACATGGAGGACACATCACATGCCAGGGCCTGTTGGGGGATGGGGACCTAGGGGAGGGATAGCATTAGGAGAAATACCTAATGTAGATGACAGGCTGATGGGTGCAGCAAACCAGCATGGCACATGTATACTTATGTAACAAACCTGCACGTTCTGCTCATGTATCCCAGAACTTAAAGTATATTTAAAAAACTAAAAAAATGAATTAGAAACTTAAATCTAAGATGTCAAACTATGAAACTACTATAAGAAGACATTGAGGAGAATCTTCAGGACATTGGTCTGGGGAAAAATTATTGAGCAATACCCCACAAACACAGGCAACCAAAGTAAAACTGGACAAACGGGATCATATTAAGTTAAAAAGCTTCTGCATGGCAAAAGATACAATCAACATGAAGAGAAAACCCACATAAAGGGAGAAAATATTTGCAAACTACCTATCTGACAAAGGATTAATAACCAGAATGTATAAGGAACTCAACTGTATAGGAAACAATCTATTAATCTCATTTAAAAATGGGCAAAAAAACCCCTGAACAGACATTTCTCAAAAGAAGACATACAAATTTCAAACAGGCTTATGAAAAGGAACTCAACATCATTCATCATCAGAGAAATGCAAATCTAAACTGTAATGATATATTATTTCACCCCAGTTAAAATGTCTTAGATACAAAGACAGGCAATAACAAATGCTGGTGAGTATGCAGAGAAAAGGGAACCCTTGGGCACTACTGGTGGGAATTGAGTGCACCCTCTATGGAGAACAATTTGGAGGTTCCTCAGAGAACTAAAAATTGAGATGCCATATGATCCATCAATCCCACTGCTGGATATATACCCAAAAGAAAGAGAATCAGTGTATCTAAGAGAGATCTGCATTCCTATGTTTGTTGCAGCACTATTTACAATAGCTAAGATTTGGAAGCAACCTAAGTGTCCATAAACAGAGGAATGGACAAAGAAAATGTGGTATACACAATGGGGTATTATTTAGCCATAAAAATGAGATCCAGTCATTTGCAACAACATGGATGGAACTGGAGATCATTATGTTAAGTGAAATAAGCCAGGTACAGAAAGACAAACATTGCATGGTCACACTTATATGTGGA